GTAGAAAATTAAAACATTCGATGGATCTCTTTGTATTTTTATTAAATGAGTCAATTTGAATAATTAATGCATTTGAATTGTTTGTTCATTAACGTGTAAGACTGATTAAATGAGTCAATAACAAGACTCTCCTACAATCTAGATAAAAAATTTGGAGGCAATTTTTTTTAAAAACCAATTCTTTGTTCATAAACGTAAGACTATGAACAAAAAATCAAAAATTTGAAATGAATTTCTTCTTCTTTTTCGCAGGGTAGTTTGTTTAAATCAAAAGCATGAACCACTTTAGCATCGATATATTGCGTTTGTTTTTGACGTTTCAACTCGATTTTTTTTTCGCCTCCATATTTTCTATAGACCTTTTATTCATATTTGTGCTCATAACAAAAAAGAAAAAGAAAAAAGGAACTCTTGAAACTTTTTATAGATTTAATTTTATTTATAAATAGTATTTAATGTACACATGATGAGAGTCAACATAATTGAAAGTATAAGAAACCAACGTGAATACTTATTGTTTTGTGTTTAAAGTGACTCTTCATATTGTTTGGAGTAATTTTGATTAAGGTTCAAAATGGGAAAACATGTTAAAATATATGTGTTGAAACTTTAAAACGATTCTTTTTTTTTTAACAAAAAAATTGTGTCAAAATGACATGACACTCTTTTGAAAAGAGAGAGACCTTATTTCTCTCGGCGGATGGGTATATTCATATAAGTACTATGATTTTGGCAATCATTTAGTGATGCTCGTAAATTCATGCATTTTAATCATTTGTGATTATAAATCTATAGAGCCATCCACATCCTGTCACGTGTTTAAAAATCTTCTGACGCTTTTGAGTTTTTTTAACAAATTCAACCCACCAAAATTAAAGGCGGCCAAACTCACCTCGCCGCTCCAAGTGGCTAAGATCCAAGCGTCTATCTATTAGGTGGTACTTACGGCTTGATATGACGTTATCTTGTGGATTCCATTCGAGAAAATGATAGATGTTATGTGGCAAATTGTCGTTTTTTTATGATAAAGTTGATAACTATGAGCTACTGCGACTTTCTTTTTCTTTCTAATGAACAACTTCGGTATTTTTTTTTTTACTTCATCTTTATTAACTTTTCAAGAGTGAAAGAAAGAAATGGTGATGATCCTCATGGAGGATTGCTGGATTGGTATCAAACAAGTCGGAACAACTTCGGTTTATTTCTTGTTTAGGTGAATGGATTGTACGAGTGAGTTATGGTATCATAATTCAGATATAAATACAGTTTGAGCTTAGCTAACTTGTAGAAGAAGATTAGAAAAATAAAAAAAAAATTGTAGAAAGAACAAAAAAA